ACACACACACACACACACACACACACACACACACACACACACACACATTCATATACTATTTTTGGAGTGTGACCCAGGCTGGCTTAAACTCATTATATAACCAAGAATGACTGTACGTTTCTGACCTTCTGTCTCTACCTTCCAAATGCTGGGGTTATAGCTGTACACCAGCATACCTGGTTTGAATGCTGCTGAGGATTGAACCCAGGGCTTTGTGCATGTTAGGTAAGTACTCTACCAACTGAATTGCATCCCTGGCCCTCGAGAGAATTCTTTAATACCAGCTAACAGTATGCGATGAGCTCACTTTTGATCTCAGGCCTCTGGAGAGTCAGTAAGCGACCATTATATCAGAACTGGTGACAGCTCCATGTCAAGATCCAATGTGGATAGGTAGAAAATGACAATTACAATGGAAGAATGGCTTGAGGTGTGATGGCCTGCCCTGAGATAAATGCAGGGTTACAGACCCCCTTTGTCACTCAACCTAAGGTGAACTCTTTTAAACTGTCAAGGCTAAGGAAATAACCTCCCTCCCCCGTGGATGTTCAGTTGCTGCTTTTTCAGCTCAAGTAGGAGTCACTGACTAGCTCAGGTTCCAGGGTCTGGTATGAGTCTTTAATAATAGAAGTTATAAGGCCTAGCATTTATCAAAATCCCACGTACTCTTAACCAAACTGTGCTAAAGACAATGTTAAATTAGACCTAACATAGTGAGTCCATGCTGTGGGAAGTTTTTGAACCAGTGTTTGAGTGATGCAGGCCTTTATAAACTTGAAGAAACTTGAAAGCTGGGAAGGGGGAGCTATTTGTACAGCTGTTAATGAGATGGTAAAGTGTATCAAGGGCAAAGCGCAACATTTGGTCAAATCAGTTACCTGTAACAGAATGTCAGAAGTATTCTGGAGCTGCTTGAACTCCCCAGGCCTGTGACAGTCACCCTGCCAAGTGCACGATGGCTGAAACAATCACTGTAACACACCTGGGTTCAGAACCATTTGTGATACCACGCCAGGTATATGGAGAAGAATTCATAGAAATTCACCCCGAAGTGGGTTGTTTTCTGGACAGAAACAGATGCATAATATGCAATGCCCAGTGCAAAAAAATTAAATAAAATTTCTCCTTGCTTAAAAAAAAAATGTGTAGGCCTTTCAAGATGACAAGTGCAGGAGATTAAAGCAACTGTGAAGCCTTTCTAACACGTGGCACCACACAGTTGTATGCCTGCCTCTAGAGTTCCTGTTTCTAGGTGCAGAGGATGACATATCGAGCTATAGGAGAAATGAATTGTCAGTGCAAAGGGAAGCTGCAGATGTGTGAGCTCCCATGTGTGACAGCAATGAAAGCGAAGGTGTGCAAGCACATTTTGGTGGACAGGTTGTAAGTAGCTGACTGTGCACATGACAATCCCCCTTTGGTGACAATGGAGAGTTACTGGCAATGCCCTTGATGTCCTTAGTGGAGCTTGAGAACACTAAAGATGATCCATCTGCAGACTGACAGAACAAGTCATGTTCTCTGATCGTGTTTCACAAAAACAGATCAGAAGTCTCATGAATGAAGAGCAAGGATGCTGGCAAGTTTTGTTAATACTATTTCCTTCCTTCTAGAATGTGTACAGGGATCTCTTTCTCTGTTTGCTTACTGTGTGTAAAGACAGTGTCCAAGCATGGAAAAGCAAAGCTCAAGTTACAATGTACCTGAAAGGCAAAGGTCTGAGGTGTACTAAGGCAACTGGTATACCTCTTTACTGTGTTCTGTACAGTTGATGGAGATTCTTTTTATTATAGGCTTGAGATTTTCATATTATATATTTATGTATACACACACATATTTCTTCCTGGGTTCTATTTATTTTTTAGTGTCTACTACTCTTTCTGCTTTCCTTTCTTCTTTCCTTCCTTCTTTCCTTCCTTCCTTCCTTCCTTCCTTCTTTCTTTCTTTCTTTCTTTCTTTCTTTCTTTCTTTCTTTCTTTCTTTCTTTCTCCTTTTTTTTGTTGTTGTGCAAGGACTCAGCTAGTAACTCAGCCTGGGCTGGAATTCATCTTGCCTTAGTTTTCTGAGTTTTCAGGTACACACCATTAAGATCTCTCCTTGATTTGTGAATTCTCATTTATTATTGAAGGTTCTAGGTCTTTTGAAGCTTTTATAGATATCAACACCGTTCCAAGATGTAGTCAAGTCTTCCTGTTCCCTAGTATTTGCCACACTGTGCACAGAGCTGCTAGTTATTTTATTTTATTTTTTATTGTTGTTGCAGGTTGGAATCACTTGCTGGGAGGCAGTTTTCCTCTCCTAGGCTCATTCCATCAGAGGGAAGGGACTGGGTCTTCGAAGTGTATGACTGTGTTTCTTAAGGACAGAGAGTACTGTGTACATAGATATTTCTTAAGGGAGTGCTAAATAAAAGATGCAGCCCAAGAAACTGGAACATAAAGATTGGGGACAAATACTTTGTGAAATAGCTTCAGACTTAGTGAAGCTCAGCCCTTTGATACATGACTAATGGAGGCTAAGAG